ACAGACATGTTTATTGTGTATTATTTTCAACGTGTTTATTGCTAAGTTTAGTGTGTCAAAATAGAAGCGCAGCCATAATTCGCGTGCAGTGTATCTGGTTGCCATGACAACCGCACGCGCTTCCTGCATTGCAGAAATAAGCCGTAATTTTGTTTTATTTGTAACTCTTTGGTAGATACATTTATCATTTCTATTACACTACTACTATACTGTTACTACTAATAAAACAGATCTCTGGGGGCCCCAAAAGTGCGTGGGCCCTTAGAATCGTCCTAACTCCCCCCTTAGTGGTGACCCTGGATGGACAAATGAAGCCTCGTAAAACTGAGGCTTTCCTCTGACTGTTTCGGGAAAAGATTCAAAGCTTCGAGTGTGTCGAAAACAGCGCTATCTGGTGGTTAATAAAAATATAGCGTTCCGTAGGACGAAACATCTACTATGGCCGCTTTCAAAAGCACTGCTTCGTGAAGCTTCGAAACTTTTGCGAATCATTTATTTCGAAACAGTGGTTCAGAGCGCGTATCAAACTGCCAAAGTTACATGAATTCAGTAAACGCCATGGTGTTTCGAGGGCTTCGAAACAGTAAATCATTTTGCGAAGCAATTGGTTCAACTTATTCGAAGCTTCGAAAAGGTTTGTTTCTCCCATCACTAACATCTATCACACATTCCACAGATCGATTCAAGTTAAGTGCACAAATAAAAGCCAAACAGTGTGTGTGTTTGTTAAATTTCTGTCTCTGATCAATTAATTTACCCATTAAAGTGTGCAATTTAATACCAGTACGAATATCAATATGATGTAATAGAAGAATAATGTAGCCTACACATATGAATTGCATATGACAAATATTGAATTTTCCTGAAATTATTATTATTCTTATTATTTGTATGACTGGGTATCTAAAATGTAACGGAATAAGTCCGAATTAAAACTTACTCGTAAAGTAAGATCTGGGGGATCGAACATTCCGACACGCAAAGTGAATCCCCCTACAGTCAGTCATTTTATTTCTGAAAACTCATCTTTGATAATCAAAATGACATAGACTATTCCCATGAAAATAGTTCCATAGTTCTCCATATCTTTAAAGTCCGCATGAAATCAAAATTTACAATATTTATTTTGTTAACGCACATTGCTAGTCTTAAGGTCAACAATTAATCGGTTAAAAAAAACGTTAATCCTCTGAAAAAAAATTGTTTGTGTAGGTAATCTTTAATCAAAATCTGATCACATGCTTCCGCTCTGGAATTGCATGCCTTCTCTGATGACGTCAGTTTGACCACTTGGGCCTGCCTTAGGCAGAATATGCTTAAAGGGTTAGTTTCGCGCATTCATAATAAAATGTGCTTCACATTGCTCCAGGGGGTGAATAAAGGCCTTCTGTAGTGAATCCATGCGTTTTTGTAAGAAAAATATACACATTTCAAACGTAATAAACACTTTTCTCTCACTTCTGTTATCTTTAATACGCGGAAGGCGTTCCGGCGGAAAGCATGTGACGTATGCTCAGCGCGCGCGCCTCTGAGATATGCTAGTCTCACGAGTTTGTTTATAGGAGCAAAGGAAGCAAAGTTTCCTTACTTTAGCAAAGGAAAACCAGTCTCCTCTTGGCTTATATTGAAATCCTCCGACATTTTTCTTTGCAAATCTTAGGTTTGTTCTTCTAATTCGTGACCGCCGTTTTGTTTTGTTGTCTCTCCGCATTCGTCACTAATCACGCAACGCCGACGTGCTACGTCATCCGCCGGCACGGCTTCCACGTATGACAGTTGGCGGAAGATATATAAAAGTGTTTATTACGTTTGAAATATGGATATTTTTCTTACAAAAATGCATGGATTCACTACAGAAGGCCTTTATTCACCCCTGGAGCCATGTGAAGCATGTTTTATTATGAATGCGGGCGCTTTATTTGACGACTTGTGGACTGTTCAACTGCAACACCCGCTGACTGCAATGATAGAGCTTGGAATAGCCAGGACAATTTTTTATATAACTCCGACTGTATTAGTCTGAAAGAAGAAAGTCATATACACCTAGGATGCTTCGAGGGTGAGTAAAACACAAGCCAATTTTCAATTTTGGGTGAACAAACCCTTTAACCATGCCTCTCCAACCGTTACTTTGCTGCGAGCAAAAGATGAGAGGAGGAGCGCAAATATAAAACCCCACCCTTCTGTTTTAGTTGGAAATATGTCACCATACTGAAATAAAGTTGATTTTCACCACAGGGGTGTCTTTAAAAATTACTATTCTACAGTAAATCTGTTTTGTGTAGAATCACATGAGGTTGACTAAATGATGAGATTTTTGTATCCCTGTATAAAAATGATTGTCAGTGTTTTCAAATAATCACCAACAAGTTACAAGGAGGATCACCTCATAAAGAACATTTACTTCAGTAAGGTTTACAATAAATTAAGAATAAAACATAAAATAATTTCCATTCACTGTAAAATGTATTGATTGATCTGTAATGATGACATACTATATCCTGTCCCACTCATATCATAATCAACTACAAAACTAAAAGAAATCTCCAAAAAAAAAAGTAACTTAACCCACACTTGAGTGGACATACTCCACTGATATCGCTTTAGGCTACTCACCAGCTAAGACGATGGCAGAAGAATCAACAGAAAAGTCTCGCTCTAGTCAGTAGTCATAACGTGAATGTTACTGTGTACTGTTGAATTTCAAGTGAATGCTGACGCAAAACGGAAACTGCGGGACTTTCCAACATGCCGCCTCCAGCCCACACATACACATAAAAGTGTGCGTCTCAAACAAAGGCTGCACTACCAGCTGCGTTTTTCCTAGTTCAGTCCTTCAGAGGCTTGAAGGCTAGAGTCCTCCTCGGCATTACACGCTAAAATAGCCTACAAATAATAAAACTTCATTTTGGAAAAATACTTTGTATTACAAATCTTTATATTATTTGGCTTTCTATTAATGTAGGCTAATAATGAATCACAGCCGTCTACAGTCTCCCAGTGGCTTACTTTTTTGGCAGTTTAGTGTTAGTAATTTACAACAAAACAAAAAATAACATCTTTGCTTTCATGTACGAAAACATATTTTTTTGTCTTAGATTTCATAATGAATTCAGACAAGCTCACTGACTCGTTTTTCGTCAGTTTATTTTCGTGAATTGGAATGTGGATTGTGGGTGACAGAAGGATCCTTCAAATCCAGCTGAATGAAGGACGCGAAACGAAGCTGCCTTCCGACTGACACAGTGTTACGAGATTTTCAGTTTCTGAAATGTTTTCTGTCTGAATATTTATGAGTTTCACAGACATGCGGATGGAACTGAGAATTGTAGTTAACGCTCCGCATATCACAGCAGGATTAATGGAGTATTCCAAAACCGGTAACGTAGCCTAATATTTTCAGCGTTGCGCAAACTTATGTTTAAACTACGTTTGTTGATCATTTCGTAACAGTTGATGTTTTTTAACGTTTTGTGCAGTCGTCCATGACTGAATGATTGCAGACATTCTTTGTGTAATGTTAGGATGAAGCACAGCAAACTTCAGCTAGTTTTTATTGATTTCAGTTTGCTGTGCTGTAGCTGCGATGCTTTAAAACTGTGTCTGATGTTGTTATCATTTGAATGCAACAACTGAATCTTGTATCTGATTTAAACATAAAGTTAAGTGGTTTTCATTACCCATTCTACTCTTAGTAATTTAATAATTTAATAAATTTCATAATTTAAAAGTTTAGTGCAGAAGTATCGAATCGGTATCGATATCGACGATACTGCCTTGAAAAATATCGGTATCGTATCGAAAACAAAATAAGGGGTATCGCCCATCCCTACTGACTAATCATTATTAATTTATGCTCCGCCCACTCGAAAGTCTCAGCGACATTTGATGACGTTGCAGCCGAGTCATGCAGCCTTTGAGAAGAACCCATCCAATTTCCTAACTCCTACTAGTTCTTTATTACAAATAAAAATTGACTCAGTTTCATATTTACCTCCGTTTTTCTCTTCCCGACAAAGACAATAAACGTTTTTAGCGCTAAATTTAAACCGCGAAATATTCATAGATATGTATAGGCTATAACTGTTTTTACATCAGGCACAGGGAAATGCAGTTTGTTCATCAAGTCTACCTTCTATTGAACAATTGACATGGGCTAGAAAAATAAAGCTTTATGTTTGAAACATGTTTTGTTTTCAGAATCGTGGGATAATCATAGCTTTAAAATACATAGGCTAATATATGTGGCATCTAACTAATACCATTAGTAGCCTACTGTTAATAGTAAAATTAGTTCTGCAATCCCCCCCCCCTCATTTTGGTTCGTTCCGCGATCCTTGCCATCGTGTGTACACAAAGCGCATACAAACAAAAGGTCAGCATTCACAATTAGAACGTATGATCAATAAATATTTGCTTCGCTTTAAATCTGACTGATGACTAAAACGAACCAGCCATATGCAACATTTATAGGTAGGGAGGAAGACAACCACCCCACGTTTAACGTTTTTTCCCCCACTTTCCCATGTGCTCCTCAATGACAGATATGATAGATGTGATAAATTAGTTGTTTCTCAAGTCTATGATTGTGTAAAGGTTTATTAGCATGTATGAAACTTATAAAGAAAAAATATAAATTCAATCTCTTAAAATAATCACTTGAAATTAATGTTTCAAGCATGACGCTACATTCCAAATGTATTTACAGAATTGCTACATTATATTCTTATTCTTGGAAGTTTTTCATTTTAGGTTTAACTATTCATTTGATTAATGTTCTCCCATCACTTGATTAACATAAATTAAAGGTTGTAGTTCCTAATAATAATAATAATGTCTCAGTGTTTTTATGAGATCTAGGGCCCTTCATTTAAAGTCCCCTATACCAAATGAATGGTATAGAACATACACATGCCTTTTGAATGGATCAATACAGAGGTAAGCAAATGTCTGCTCATTTTCTGTTGCAGATGGGTAGCATAATCCACTGTGATCCTAATAAACAAAAACAGCAATGTTAACATAATTAATAAGGCATGCTGCATCTTTAAGGATAATTGTGCACAAGAAATAAGTTACATACATGAGCAGAAACTTTCAAGATTGTTGTGACCACAGTGATCTCTTTTGTATCTCGATCCTTCTGAACGCTGTAAAAGACATATGAATGAGAATTTATCATATGACAACCAACCATACATTTGTTTGGGTATCTTGGTGAAATGGTAAAGAGGTCATGTGTTAAAAATCAAAATTAAAAAAATGTGTATATCCTATATGATATTACTCCATTAAACATTTTTCCACATTAATGTGTACTCAAGTTTACTTATTTTGGTCCCACATTCATGTGAAATGTTCAAATGGAAAATAATGTCTGTAAAAATCTCACCTGACCAAGTCTTTGTACATCATTTTTGCTGTCTCAACATAGGGATCGATGACATCCTCACATTGGCAAAGTTCACCACCTAAGACCATATGCTTGAACAGTCTAAACAAAAACTCCTGACGATCACTTGGACTGATTATATGATAGTTGTTAGAATCTTCTTCAAGCAAAAGCTGTCAGAGAGCATGCCAAACAACAGAGGTTAAACAAACATTTTGATACAGCTATCAGCCATGTTTGAGAGCATCACTGATAATAGTGAATGATGTAACAATCCATACCATCCTTAACTCATCAAAGTCTGGGTATATTTCATGGTAACATTTGACAATGTGGCCAGATGGATGCAAAATTCCATTTGAGTAAATTGGATTGAATATATCTACTGACACCTTTGTGCATGGGACAACTTCAACATTTACATGTGTGATGTCTCTACCTGTGAATGGGTAAAAAGCCATGAGCCATTTTTAGCCTTCATGAAAGGAGATATAAACATAAAATGACATAAAACATTATAAATGAATTCCAATAACAATATGCCTTATCATCAGAAGTATTAACATACCCAGTAGTGTCCATGATCCAGCAGTATCAAGTACCTTTAAATTGTTCTTCACACATGGATCTTGAAAGAAACTCTGAAAAAATATAATAATTATAATAATGTTGACGTATACTGTTTAATGTTGCTGTGACAAAGAAAGTTGAAGTTCATGTGTGAATATTTACCCAAGCAAAGTCATTGCTTCTATAAGACTGGAAAGATTGGTCAAAGTTGAAGGCCTGGATGTTAATTCGACCTAGCATGGACCTAAAAGGCAATGATGAATTTTAGAATTGGTAACTGAATCTTGTAATTGTAATCTTATGTAATTTTTATCATATGAATGCTACGATAAAGCAGCATTTATCGCAGCATTACGATAAATACACCCCCCCCCCAAAAAAAAAAAAAACCTTTAAAAGCTGATAAAATACCAGTAATGTGTAACTTAAGTAATCGACAACATTTTACCACCCCTCAGTGAAATTCTCCACAGGAAACTACCTAAAGAATCTACAGTGACATATTCGGCTGACATGCAAATAGGTCAGAAATCAAAACAGCTTTACAAGAATCTATTCATTTGGGATTCCCCCTAGATTTTATGGGGTTGATTTTGGAACATCGTATCTGTCTTTAAACACATTACATTGACTAATTAGGAGTGAATAATGTTTCCACATGTTATTATTTAATATCTAAAAATGAAGGTCTTATAGAGATGCAGTGAAAAAAATAAGCTGCAGATGTAAAATGGATATATTTTGCGAGACATCCATTTGCTCAAGGGGTTTTTATTTTATGTTTTTTTTTGTTTTTTTTTCATGGCATTGTTATTTACTGCTCTGCTCTTAGTTGTTTATGATTTGGATAGCAGCCATGTTTTATATAGCATCACAAATCAATTTTAAATTGAATTTCAGTTAATGCTAATATCATTTTCACATTTCTAGTTAATGTGTTTTATGGATGCAGACACTTATGCATCATCTTTTCATTTCATAATCACAATCAGAATGAGTTTTATTGGCAAGTATGGAATTTGTATTGGTGACAGGAGCTTCCAATGCAGAAAAGGTGCATAATACAGACACACACACAGGCAAAAATATAATAAATAGGTAAAGTGGAATAAAATACAAAAATAAAAATAGACAATAAAATTAAATAGAATATAGTACAGCAATAGAAATATAACAACAATACAAAACAACAATATTCTTTTCCAAATTCATCAGTTTTCCTGCGCATTAATTCATAAAGTCTCGGTATTGCATTTCCAATGTCTTACATTTGAATTAATAAAATATTGTCGAGAATCACCACACTGTATTAAGCAGAAATATGTTGATGGGCACAACATTAATGACGCGCCTCTTGTTTCACCGGTAACTCAACAGATTGTCATTGAATTCAGTAAAGTTGCACCTATAGAGCATATTCTTACCATTTCATCAGGAGTCTTGATATCTTGGGATCTTGCCGTAACGTGAATTTTTTGGTAGAAAGCAAATTGAAGGTGAACCCTTGCTCAAACGCAAGTTTCTCTTCCGCCATGTTACCTGTTGTCCACCGGTTACCATGACAACTAAAGACAGTCGCGCTCACGGTGCAAAATGACGCGGGAGCAGAAGGCCTGTTCGCTCCAAGGACGGTAACTAAAGATAACGATAAAGATATAATTTTAAAAATCGTTCTCAGTATTAACGACTAGCAGAACTCACACCGCAGGAATAACGATAAAGGCACAGAGAAACAGTATCATTGGAATCACGTTCAGAATGATTTTTTTCCAGCTGATGAACATTGACATCCAATCAGAGTCAATTTAAAGCGGCAGACGAGCATGGCTTCAGAATAAACAGACGATATCGTCCGCTGGTGTGGACGCTAATAGTTATCTTTAGTTACAGTGCCGTGAAAAGGTTTTTGCCCCCCTTCCTGTTTTTTATTTTATTTTATTTTTTGCATATTTGTCACACTTAAAAGATTCAGATTATTAAACAAATTTTAATATTGCACAAAGGTAATGCAAGTTAATACAAAATGCAGTTTTTAAATGGTGATTTCATTTATTAAGGGAAAAAAGCTGTCCAAACCTGCCTGGCACTACTTGAAAAAGTAATTGCCCCCTAAATCTAATAGCTGGTTCTGCCACCCTTGGCAGCAACAACTGCAATCAAGTGTTTGCGATAACTGGCAATGAGTCTTTCACATCGCTGTGGAGGAATTTTGGCCCACTCTTCTTTGCAGAATTGTTTTAATTCAGCCACATTGGAGGGTTTTCGAGCATGAATGGACTGTTTAAGGTCATGCCACAGCATCTCAATTGGATTTAAGTCCGGACTTTGACTTGGCCACTCCAAAACCTTCTTGAGCCATTCAGAGGTGGACTTGCTGGTGTGTTTATGAAATTTAACTCAGCTTTCTAAAATAATGTGGTTAATCACAGTTAATCACATCTTTCATGATTTAGCAGGAAGGGGCAATTCATTTTTCACGTAGGGGCAGGTAGGTTTGGACAGCTGTGACAAATATGCAAAAAATGAAAAAAAAAAAAACAGAAAGGGGGCAAAAAACTTTTTATGGCACTGTATCTTTCTTGGTGTGAACGGGCCGTAATGCCCAACAGATGGGTTCCTTAAGTGTATACTGAAGGACAATAACATGAAACCCTTTTGATCATGATCAAGAATTTCTGCATAGATGCCAAGAGTACAGTGAAAATTACATATATATATATATATATATATTGATGCATTTGGCATGCTTTTATTCAAAGAAACTTACAGTGAATTCAGTATATAGTTTGAATCAGGCTTATATAAATGGACTAGAATTAGCACAAATTAGCTTTGAAGATGCAATAAATGGTCTATTATAAAGAAAAATATACATTTACCAGTCGAAGTGTTTTGAAGGTAATATATCTTGGTGTGTTTTCATTCTATCATGTCCAGGATTTCCCTGTGTTTCGAAAGGAATGCATTTACGAATGCTGCTCTGGGTCCCGCTGATTCCAACCTCAACAGAAAGAAGTGTCACATTTCAGCATCTGGTTTTCATAGCCAATACAGGATGTTGTCGAAGTGCAATAAAGCAAAAGTACTTTAGAGTGAAACAGAATTGGTCTGGACACTTTTTGTTGAGGTGAGAACAGCTGTTTGTGTTTTTTTTGTGAGGTTTCCTTTCTTTTTCCTTTTTTTTCTTCTGAAGCAAAAAGGCAGTCCGGTCCACAAGAGAATGCTGGAGAAAACTGCCGTCTCATTGGAAGGTGCACATCTTCACACTTTCACATGTGGGACTGCTGCATACACCAAAATGATCTGGATCACTTTATTTCTGCATCTTTTTGCATCATCAGCTGTGGTGAGTGTTGTAAACTTCTCCCTTCTGTAATTAATCTGTAATTAATGTTAATAAACCATAAAGTTTTTATTTAGATTCTTGCAATATTTGCTACAATGCATTAGTATTTCATTCTTATCACAATAAAATACTTTTAAGTCAACATATGGTGCTTATATAACAACTGGAAAAGGGTACTTTTTTAAGTGAAATATATAATTCAGTTTAATGTTAAATAATGCAATAAATCATATTTTAAATTATATTTTACAAATTATTTATATTGTAAATGAATATTTTGTTGTATAATGCAACTTGTGAATATGTAATAATGCGTGGTATATTTTGTGTGTCTTAGAATATTAGCAGTACTAATCGCAATAATCCTGCTATATTGACTGGGGAATCTAAGGACGCCTCTCTTCAAGGCCAAAAAGAGCATTATCACAGAGACGCAGACAAAGACAAATGCACTATGCCATGTGAAATGACTGCAAAGCTAATGCGTGATGAGAAACATTCCTTGTGCAGTAGGTGTTCCATTTTTTTGTGCGCACAGTGCATATGTGCATATGAATATGTGACCCTGGACCACAAAACCAGTCATAAGGGTA